GTCCCCACTGCCCAAGACAAGGGGCTGCCCCCCATGTCGGGCACAAGCCCCCATTCCATGCTCTCCACCCTCCCCCCATGGAGCACAGCTTTCCTAATCCCCCATGGAGCACGGTTCCCCCAATCCGTGGGACAACCCCTTCTCTTATCCCACTTGTTCCCTGTGTGAATGGGGCTGAGGGCAGGGGCCTGCAGGTGCTCTCACTGTCCCTGCGGCAGCGGCCTAAGTCCCCACACAGACCTCGCTGCTCCCACCGCGGACCTCACGGCTGCCTCCCAACCGACCTCACTGCCTCCCCTACGGACCTCGCTGCTCCCCCCACAACCTTGTTGCTCCCCCATCGCAGACCTCGCTGCCCCCACCCCTGACCTCACTGCCTCCCCCACGGACCTTGCTGCTCCCCTCCACCCTGACCTCACTGCCTGCTCCATGGACCTCGCTGCTCCCCCCAACCCAGCCTTCGCTGCTCCTCCACCGCGGACCTCGCCGCCCCCCCCCCACCCCACGGACCTCACTGCCTCCCCTGCAGACCTCGCTGCTCCCCCACGGACCTCCCGTCCCCCCCGCCACGGACCTCACTGACTCTTGGTCCCCGGGCACACAGTGGTGCACACTTTGTTCCTTATCCTCTTTTCCTCCACGTCTTCCACGAGCTCCCACAAAGGATGCACTATCCCTGGGGGCACCACCACATCACCTTCCCACTGGCCCTTCTCCCTGACTGCCTCCCAGTAGTCCCCCAGAGATCAGGGTGGGAGCACTGGGAACCATGGTGTGGGCTGTTCCCTGTCATAGAGGAGGAGACGGAGGCTGGGGAGGATGCCCCCTGTGTGCCCATTGCTGGGGACCAAGATACTGCTCATGGCCTCAGCCTCCTCTTCCTGCCCCCACTCAAGGGGCTGGGCTCCCTCTGGGGTCAGACTCTCAGGTGAGACTGGGAAGTGAGGGGGAGCAGAGAAATGACTCAGGAGAGAGACCCCTGGAGGTGATGGGGAGGGGGTCCTGGAGTGATGAAGGAGACCCCAGGAGGTGATGGAAGAGACCCTTGGAAGTGTTGGGGAAGACCTCTGTAGGTGATGGAGGAGACACCCGGAGGCGGTGGAGGAGAGCCCTGGAAGTGATGGAGGAGACCCCAGGAGGTGATGGGGAAGACCTCTGTAGGTGGTGGGGAAGACCCCAGAGGTGATAGAGGAGACCTCAGGAGGTGATGGGGAAGACTCCCAGAGGTTATGAAGGAGAGCCCTTGGGGTGATGGAGCAGAACCCTGGAGGTGATGGAGGAGACCCCAGGAGGTGATGGAGGAGACCCCTGGAGGTGATGGAGAAGACCCCAGGAGGTGATGGGGAGACCCCAGGAGGTGATGGAGGAGACCCCAGGAGATGATGGGGAAGGCCCAGGAGGTGATGGAGGAAACCCCAGGAGATGATGGGGAAGATCCTTGGAGGTGATGGAGGAGACCCCAGGAGGTGATGGGGAAGACCCCTGAAAGTGATGGGGGAGACCCCAAGAGATGATGGAGGAGACCCCATGAGGTGATGGGGAACACCCCTGGAGGTTATGGGGGAGACCCCAGGAGGTGATGGAGGAGAACACAGGAAGTGTTGGAGGAGACCCTAGGAGGTGATGGAGGAGACCCCTGAAGGTGATGGGGAAGACCTCTGTAGGTGATGAGGCAGACCCCAGAGGAGATAGAGGAGACTGCAGGAGGCGATGGAGGAGACCCCTGGAGGCGATGGGAAAGACCCCTGGAGGTGATGGAGGAGATCCCTGGAGGTGATGAAGAAGACCCCAGGAGGTGATAGGAAAGACCCCAGGAGGTGTTGGGGGAGACTCCAGGAGGTGATGGGGAAGACCCCAGAGGTGATGGAGGAGACCCCAGGAGGTGATGGGGAAGACCCCTGGAAGTGATGGGGGAGACCCCAGGAGATGATGGAGGAGAACCCTGGAGGTGATGGGGAAGACCTCTGTAGGTGATGGGACAGATCCCAGAGGTGATAGAGGAGACCTCAGGAGGTGATGGGGAAGACTCCCAGAGGTGATGAAGGAGAGCACTTGAGGTGATGGAGGAGAGCCCTGGGGGTGATGGGGAAGACCCCAGGAGGTGATGGCGGAGACCCCAGGAGGTGATGGGGAAGACCCCAGGAGGTGATGGGGAAGACCCCTGGAGGTGATGGAGGAGACCCCTGAGGTGTTGGGGAAGACCCCTGAAGGTGATGGAGGAGACCCCAGGAGGTGATGAGGAAGACCCCAGGAGGTGATGGAGGAGACCCCTGGAGGTGATGGGGAAGACTCCTGAAGGTGATGGAAGAGACCCCAGGAGGTGATGGTGGAGACCCCTGGAGGTGATGGGGAAGACCCCAGGAGGTGACGGAGGAGACCCCAGGAGGTGATGGGGGAGACCACAGGAGGTGATGGAGGAGTCCCCAGGAGGTGATGGAGGAGACCCCAGGAGGTGATGGGGAAGACCACAGGAGGTGATGGAGGAGACCCCATGAGGTGATGGGGAAGACCCCTGGAGGTGATGGAGGAGACCCCATGAGGTGATGGGGAAGACCCCAGGAGGTGATGGAGGAGATCCCAGGAGGTGATGGAGGAGACCCCAGGAGGTGATGGGGAAGACCCCTGGGGGTGATGGAGGAGACCCCAGGAGGTGATGGAGGAGTCCCCAGGAGGTGATGGAGGAGACCCCAGGAGGTGATGGGGAAGACCCCTGGGGGTGATGGAGGAGACCCCAGGAGGTGATGGAGGAGTCCCCAGGAGGTGATGGAGGAGACCCCAGGAGGTGATGGGGAAGACCCCAAGAGGTGATGGAGGAGACCCCTGGAGGTGTTGGGGAAGACCCCAGAGGTGATGAAGGAGACCCCATGAGGTGATGGGGAAGACCCCAGGAGGTGATGGGGAAGACCCCTGGAAGTGATGGGGGAGACCCCTGGAGGTGATGGGGAAGACCGCAGAAGTGATAGAGGAGACGTCAGGAGGTGATGGGGAAGACTCCCAGAGGTGATGAAGGAGAGCCCTTGAGGTGATGAAGGAGAGCCCTTGAGGTGATGGAGGAGTGCCCTGGAGGTGATGGGAAGACCCCAGGAGGTGATGGAGGAGACCCCTGCAGGTGATGGGGGAGACCCCTGGAGGTGATGGAGGAGACCCCTGGAGGTGATGGGGAAGACAGCAGGAGGTGATGGAGGAGGCCCCAGGAGGTGATGGAGGAGACCCCAGGAGGTGATGGGGGAGAGCCCTGGAGGTGGTCGGGGGTTTGGAGGTGCTGGGCCCTGGGAGTGATAAGAGGCTCTAGGGATCCTGAGAGTGATGGGGGGACCCCCAGAGATGACGGGGTTGGGCACCGACTGCTTGGAAGGACTTTGAGGAACCTTGCAGCCAGGGCTGCCTGGCTCTGCTCCGTGGCCTCTTTTCTGTCCTGCCGCAGGGCCGGCGGGCGGGACCGCGGAGGAGGGGGGATGAGGCGGTCTGGGGCGGCGCTGTGCTCGCACGCGAGGCTCTGGCGGGGGGCCAGGCGGCTGTCACAGCGGGCGCTGAGGGCCGGATTGCGTGACAGCGAGCCTGGCGGCGGCCACAGGAATGTCGCGCGGAGGAGGGAAGTGGGGGCTGGTGCCCGGCGCGGGGGGGCACGGCCCCCTCGTGCCCCTCCCTCCCCGTGGAGAAAGCCAGAGGGGGAAGGGAGAGAAGTTACAAGGGGCCCGTTGGAGTGGGTGGGCGCTCCCTCCCTCAGTGGAGGCGCATGGAGCGGAGGGGCACGGAGTGTTGGGAGGGGACCTCGCCCCACGCACCCAATGAAGCCGAGTCCCCGCGTCTGAGCACCCAGGGCGACACTGCCCTTGACCTGCCCGCTGCTCTGGGGTGCAGGTGCTTGTGAGCATCCCCAGGTCGCTGATGTCCCAGACCCAGGAGCCACCCCTGGCTCCACAGCTGCCCCCACCCCCCAAGAACAGCCTCGTGGTCTACAGGGCCCCGAGAGAGTGAAGGCCTAGTACAGGCTGGGCCAAGTTCGAACCCCAGCACCCCCCCCCCCCACAAGTCACACAGAAGGTGTGTGACCCTCAGAAGCCTCACCATCCCTCAGGGGGTCCTGAGACAGGAGGGCTTTTTCCCCGGGGACATAGTTTCTCCAGGTCTGTTTCTGGTTCATTTTAACCAGAGCCTGCTCTTTCTACCTGCCGACGTCCCGGGGGCATCCTCGGTCGTGGGGTGGGTGGGCGTCCCGGGGCTGTCCTAGGTTGTGGGGAAGGTGGGCTTCCTGGGGGCGTCCTTGGTCGTGGGGAGGTTGGGTGTCCTGAAGGTGTCCTTGGTTGTGGGGAGGATGGGCGTACTGGGGGCCTCCTGGGGAGGCATCCTGGGGTTTCCTTACTCCTGGGTGAGCTCCAAGAGGGAGCAGCATGCCCCTCCAGGGAGGGGTGAGGCTAGGCACAGGAAGGAGACCTGCAGACAATGACCCATGTCTGATCCGTGATCAGGGCATGTGAGTTCGGGTGACACGGGTGTATGTAGGGAGGACTGTGGTCCAGGCTCGGGGGTCCTGGACGTGGCCCTGGAAGAGGATACGGCCCCCTGGGCTCCCTGTTCTCAGACGGTGGCTATGCTGTCCAGACCAACATCTCTGGGTTGTGTCCCACTGGCCTCGAGCCCCAGGGAGGGGCTACAGGGACCCCAGGACCCATCCAGAGCTGGACGTTGTCCCGAGACAGGGGGTGGGTGGGTGGTGGTTACGGGAGCAGAGTGCCCTTCTGCATGTACATTCTGCCCTGCCGGCTGCCCTGCATCTTTGTCGCAGCCCTTCCTGCTCACCCACTCCTTGCTGGGGGCTGAGCTGCCCCAGTGCCTCCGGGCAGGGTGGGCAGGGCAGGCATCCAAGGCCGGCATCAGAGCTCTGTGGGTCTTGGTGTCGACATGCTGCAGGGCCCAGGGAGGTTACAAGAAAGCTAACTTCATGAGGACCACGTGCAGGGCCGGTTACAGGTGCTGACATGTCCTGTTCTCTCTGACAGCTGTGCAGGAGACAGGCTCGCAGCTGCCAGTGGCCGGGGACCCCTCGTCAGGAGATGGCCACCCGCCTGGAGGGTCTGAGGTGCTGGAGGGACGGCTGCTGCTGGAGGTGAGTGCCTGCCTGTCTTGCCCGCTGGCTTTCTGACTGTGGCTGTTCATTACAAGGAACCATAAGGCTTCCAGAGGGGTTCTAGGACAGAGCTGCAGACCGTTTCTGGAAACTGCGTTAGTTGGAGTCAGCAAACAGGCCAGCCCCTCAGGAGTGTGAGGCCGGTGGACTGGGAGAACCAGCCCCAAAACAGCATGAGTAGTGACCTCCCTACAACGGAGGGCGTCCCCCAGTCACCCTCTTCCCCATGACCAAAGACGCCCCCTCCCCACAACTGATGGAGGCCCGCCTCCGCACAACCAAAGACACCCTCTTCCCCATAACCGAAGACACACCCCTCCCCATGACCAAGGACATCCCCCTCCCCACTACCAAAGACACCCTCCTCCCCATAACCGAAGACGCACCTCCCCATGACCAAGGACATCCCCCCTCCCCACAACCAAAGACACCCTCCTCCCCATAACCAAAGACACACCCCTCCCCATGACCAAGGACGTCCCCCCTCCCCACTACCAAAGACACCCTCCTCCCCATAACCGAAGACGCACCTCCCCATGACCAAGGACATCCCCCCTCCCCACTACCAAAGACACCCTCCTCCCCATAACCGAAGACACACCCCTCCCCATGACGAAGGACATCCCCCCTCCCCACTACCAAAGACACCCTCCTCCCCATAACCGAAGACACACCCCTCCCCATGACCAAGGACATCCCCCTCCCCACTACCAAAGACACCCTCCTCCCCATAACCAAAGACACCCCCGCTCCATGACCAAGGACGTCCCCTCTCCCCACTACCGAAGACACCCCCCTCCCCACGACCGAGGATGGCCCCCTATGACAAAGACGTCCCCCTCCCCACAACTGAGAACAACCCCCCCCCATGACCGAAGACACACCCCTCCCCACGACCGAGGACATCCCCCAGGACACCCCGTATACCCATGGTTGAGGATGGCCCCGGTCCCCATGACTGAGGGCGGCCCCCTCCCCAGACCATCCCCCACACACACCCTAGATACAAACTTGAATATCATTTTCATTCTGCATTCTCTGGTCTTCACTTGTTGATGAGGCAGAATCTAATAAGAGATAAAACAGTCTTTTTTCTTTTTCTCAAATGAAGGGCTCAGAAAACCAAGGGCTGGTTCTTCCAGCTTTCAGGGAGCTCTGGGTGTTGGGGTTAGCGTGCAGGGCCGCTGTGGCTACCTTTGCTGCATAGACAGTGGAAACCGTCATCATGGCATGATGGTTCCTGTGCAGACGGGACCTTCTCCGTGCAGACGGGACCTTCTCCGTGGTTCTGAGGTGCTGGGTTTTCTTGGTCCATCAACTTTCTCTCAGATGAGATGAGCTTGTCCAGTGGAGCTTTCTGGGTTGAATCACCAGTAAATCAGTTGTTGTTGAGTCGATCCCAACTCACAGCGACCCCATGTGTGTCAGAGTAGAGCCATGCTCCACAGGGTTTTCAGTGGCTGATTTTTCAGAAGTAGATCGCTAGGCCTTTCTTCTGAGGTGCCCGTGGGTGGACCTGAACCTCCAACCTTTTGGTTAGCAGCCGAGTGCGTTATCTGTTTGCACCACTCAGGGACTCCAGGTTGAATCAAGTTACTGTTTAAAGATAAAGGGAGGTGGGGGCCCTGGTGTCAGGTCCGGGGATGGGGCTCAGGGTATGCTTAAGGGAAGGGGCTCCAAGCTGCTGGACCCTCCAGGACCCCAGGGCGGGCAGAGGGGCAGGTGCCCCAGAGAAGAGGCCTGGAAGGGTGGAGGGGAAGCTATTGCTGGTTGCAGGGTCCCCTTCTGCCTTCCAGCTGAGATGCCCTAAGCCCATGCCCCGTTCGCATCCTGGGTGGCTCTGGGCCCCAAATCTCCCTCAAGCGGTCACAGCTGGGCATCATGGCTGGGTGTGTGTCCATCACAGACTTGTGGGATGCAGGAAGGACATGGGGGTTGGGGACCAGCGTGGTGGTGCAGGGGATGAAGCAGGGGGAGGGAGGTGTGGGGGACGTGCCAGAGCAGGATTTGTGTCAGCGGGGACCTTGTTCACCCTAATGTGGCATCTGCAACTGTGAGGAGGCAGGAAGAGGGGTCCAGGATCACCCTGCCACTGGCTTCAGTGGGAGGATGGGCCCACACACCAAACAGGGCGGAAGAGGGGTGCAGCAGCGTGGGAATCGAGATTGGCTCAGACACATGGGGGCTCAGGGCAGGGTTCTGGGCGCTGTGGACCAGGATGGTGATTCTGAGGACTCGGCGCCCTGAAAGGCTCACCCCAACATCTAGACAGCAACACATGAGTGGGGCCAGGAGGAGGGGTAGGAGGAAAAGCAGAGGGGTTGGCCCCATGGGAGAGAAGGTTCTGGAAGGAGGGCATGGCCCCTGGGCCAGGAAGGTACCCCCGCAGCTTGGATCCACAGTGACCCGGGGGCTGGGGTCGGGCTGAGGGGTCACAGTCAGCTCACCCGCGTTCCTCCTTGAGGTGTATACTGAGGCTGGGCAGCATCTGGGGTGGAGGCCTCCCTCCGCGAGATGCGAGGTCCCCCCACTCGTCCCACCCCGTTGGGCCCCTTGGTGCGTCTGCAGACCCAGGGGTGGTGGACCCGCCTCCGATCCGAGGCTCCTGGAGGACGCGTGGGCCCGCCCGTCCCTGGGGTTCTCTACCTGGGTCGTTCTTGTTGGTCGCCATCACTGCCGTTGCGGTGGTGAGCTCTCCCACCCCCTAGAGGCCAGCGTCTCTGTGTTTGACGCACCCCCCCACCCGAGAATAGTGGACCCCACACCTTGGGGAAGAAAGGGGGCTGAGGGAAGCCACGGAGAGAGGGTTCCTTTGACACCCCTCAGCCAGTTCCCTGAACCCGTCATTGCCACCTTCTTCACTTTCCCACCTTTTATCAGGAGGTTTCAAACCCGCACGAAGCACAGGGGACGGGCCAGGAATCTCCAAGTCCCAAACGCCCCCCAGCAACGACCCCCTTGGCTGGCTGTCTCTGATGCCCCTCCCCCTCCTTGCTAGGTCCCAGCAGTTCATCTTCTCAGACCTGTCCCTCCACCTGCACCTGCGACTCTCGGGGCGCCTGGTCTCCCTCTCCCCCGCCTGCTCTCGGGGCACCTGGTCTCCCTCTCCCCCTCCTGCTCTCGGGGTGCCTGGTCTCCCTCTCCCCCGCCTGCTCTCAGGGTGCCTGGTCCCCACCGCCACCTGCTCTCTGGGTACCTGATCCCCCCAACATGCTCTCTGGGTTCCTGGTTCCCCCCCTCCATCCACTCTCTGGGTACCTGGTCCCCCCACCTGCTCTCTGGGTACCTGGTCCTTCTGCCTGCTCTCTGGGTTCCTGGTTCCCCCAACCTGCTCTCTGGGTACTTGGTGACCCCTCCCCCACCTGCTCTCTAGGTACCTTGTCCTCCCCCCCACCTGCTCTCTGGGTACCTGTCCCCCTGCCCACTCTCTGGGTACTTTGTCCCCCCCACCCACTCTCTGGGTACCTGGTCTCCATCCCACCTGCTCTCTGGGTACCTGGTCCCCCACCCACTGTCTGGGTACCTGGTCTCCCTCCCACCTGCTCTCTGGGTACCTGGTACCCCCCCGCCCACTCTCTGGGTACCTGGTCCCCCACCCACTCTCTGGGTACCTGATACCACCTACCTGCTCTCTGGGTGACTGTCCCCCCACCTGTTCTCTGGGTACCTGTCCCCCCACCAGCTCTCCAGGTATCTGGCACCCCTACATCTTATTCTCATTCCATGCCCTGCGAGGCTGGAACCTTCTGCTCTCTGGGCTTCTGCCCCGAGCGTGAGCTCCTGGGTGCATCCTCGCTGCCCCTGCCACACCTGGGTCAGTGCCGAGAGCATAGTAAGGGCCCAGTGATGGTGACAGACTGACGGACAGACAGCACCCGGTCTGCTTTGAGGTGAGAGGAGGAGCGGGGGATGGCATGCTGTGTAGGAGCTGTGGGCTGAGCTGGACAGAGCTCGGTGGCTCTGTGCCTCCCCACTGCCCACATGGCCTGGGGCTAGGACTGGGGTGAGCTCTGGGGGTCTCATGCCCCTGCTGAGGGGTTTGCACTTGTCCTGATGAGCACCCTTTTCCAGACAATGAAGACGCATGAAGTAGCCTGTCGTTCTGGGCTCTGCAGTAGCCGGGTGTTTGGGGACTCTTAGGGACTTTGCCTGGCACCACAGCCCTCTGTGTCTGACCTGACGGTGTGTCAGGGTGGGATCCCATTCCTAGAGCTGGCGAAAGTTTCATTTCAGTTCAGGTTGGGGCAGTACGGGGGTGTACCAGAAGCTTCTCTTTGGGAAACATGTTTTTGGAATAGGAAAATTTTCCATACTTCATTTCTTATCAGACTTTTAGAAAGCAAATTCTTAAGCCATTAATTTTTTTCCTTTAAAGTTGCCTTTTCTGCCCGTGCTAGTAAGATCTGAGCTGAAAGCGTGTGCCAGCTTGGTTTTATTCTTGGCACGAGATGGATGGCACTGCATTTTTCCTTACTTGTTTCCATGAAGACTTCGGAAGAGCTCCTGTAGCTGACGGCGTCTGCTCAGACATCTCCTGGCACCCGCTCCCGCCCCGCAGGGCTCCTCCTACAGGCTAGGACAGTTGCCCCCCTCCCCACCACGTGTTTTGGAGAACAGAGAATGAGGCTGAGCACCTCCTGAACCATCTGTGCCTGCAATCCCGGCTTATTCAGCATCTCACTCCTTCTCTGTGGCCCACAGAAGTTTCCAGAAGTTTACTTTGGTTGGAATCACTCTGGTTATCTGCTGAGGCATTTCACAGCATTTCCAGTGCGGTGATTCTCGAACTTTGGGGTTAGAGACTCTTTTTGAAGTTTAAAAATATTCCCAAACAAAGCAAAATAAACAAATTCAGCAGCAATAACAACAAAATCCCTGCTTTTATTACCAATCTTCAATCCCTTCAAGATAAATGGGGGGGAGGGAAGGACAGGTTTATGGCAGAGCATCGTAAATTCATGAAGATTCAGGGCTGTTGT